TCTCTGTACAATTTTTACAACTTCTTGTGAGTCTTAAAGTATGTCAAAAAGTATTAAGAATATTTCTTAGTGAATATTCCATATCAGTACATACATAGCTTCCCTTTTTGTAGATTCAAAGTAGTTCTTTAAATAAATCGTATATTTAACTTGCCCCCTAGGAAGGCAAAGTATTTCAGATTTTCTTAAAATCACTACAAGGTAATGACAGTGTCTATGGGTGTGTGCTGGGTCTTTGACTCCATGGTTAAGCGTGGTCTCTGCACCAAATTGTGTAACCACGGTACAGATTCTCGCAGGAAATCCGTGGCTGGGACATCAGGATGAGTTCTCATCCTAGCCTGCTGCTCACTGGTTGTTTGACACTGAACAGGTCACTTAGCCCTCCTGTCTTGGCTGTCTCATCTGCAATACTGGGATTACCTGCCCTGGTTACCTGCCGGTTATCTTGAGGGTTAGATGACATAGATGGAGCACTCCTTACTTAAGTCAATGTCACTGTGCAGATAAAAGATTGGCAAGTAAGACTATCTCCTAGAACCATTATCATCATCCTCTGTCTACAGTCCGAAGAAGGAGAAGTTATCTCATGACAGCTTCAATCTCAGTCGAAGGAGTGTCAAAGAGAGCTGCATCCAAATCCATTTTTTATTTAAAATAAAATGACTTTCTGGGCTCTTTTATTTTCTTTTTTTTTAATTTTATTGGGGAATTGGGGGAGGGGAACAGCGTTGGGGAATAGGGGAAGGGGAGCAGACAAGTTGCTGTCGTTTTGTTCTTCAGTCTAGTTGTGGAGGACATTGCTTCACTGGCCCATGTTGGTATCATCGCGTTCTTCCTGGGTGACGCAAATCAGTTGCCGGCCTCTGGATGGCTGCTCACGGCAGCTCTTGGCAGCTCACACCAGCTGCTAGCCGCTCATGCTGGCTGCCAGCCACACATGGTAGCTTATGGCAGCCCAATGCAGCTTCACTGCAGCCTATGCCGTCGCCGGCAACTCATGGCTGGGCTCTTTTATTTTCTAATCTGGTCACTAATGACTGTCAGAAGGTGTGCCACATGGTAATAACGATAAATAAAACATTTGCAATTATCAGCCATCCTGCCTCACTTAAATAAACAGCTTAATAACCCATCCAAGAGGTTGACCCCTTGGTACATTTTACAGGCAAATCATCCTATTGGAAACATAGAGAAGAAATTTTAGTTAAAAAACCAGACATTCCAAAGAGGTCTTATTCAGAGGTGATATTCAAAATATTAACTTCCACCAGTCGGAATGGCACCCAAAGGCACACCTACGCTGGTTCTTCTGGGCTGGAAAGCAGAGTGCAGGCTTTATTTTTTCCCAAAGGGAACTTCATGTTGAATTTTGCCAAGAACAAGTATGTAACCAACACCTGCCTTTAAATGCTCTCAAGCTAAACATTTTCTCTTCAGTATTCCATGCCACAGAACTTGGAAAGAGTCAAAGTCTTTTTTCTAGGTGGCACCTGCTGAGGAGCTACTCGCTGCACACAGCATGCTCAAGTACCAGCTCATTTAAATCTCCATGGCCCACTGTCCACAGGGCCTGCCACTGGTGGCATTAACCAGGGCAGGGGTTATGCCCTTGGACCTAGGAGTTCTGCTTCTCAGAATTTGTCCTAAGGAAATGATGATGCTTTGAGGGAGGTGTCAGCTCACTATGGTCATTTCAACGGCCTTCCTCACCCACAGGGATAAGTCCCCAGCATCTCTGCCCAGTGTGACCCACCATTAGCCACTGTTGATTGGACAAAGCATACATTCTCAACTTAAGAAGAGCCAATCAGAGTCTTTCTCCCACACACACAGACACACAGAAACATACACACACACACACACACACACACACACACACACACACACATATATACACAAGCAAAACATGACTAAGTACCCCACCTCAACCCCCTCAGAGAAGAGAATGGTGTTAGTGTCAACATTAGGAAGTAGCAAAAACTCTGAGGGAAGCGTAAGGACTCCTGGGTATCAGGAGGTGAGACTTTCCCCAGGAGCAGATTACAAGTTTGGAGGCCCTGGGATAGGGTAGTTTGGGACAGAAAATTACATTACAGACTAAAATCTAGTTCTCACTTTCCTAGAGGATAGGAGGACCCTAAACAGGAGTAAATAATCTTGAAAGGGGCATAAACTTTTACTAGAGGGACTGTGAAAGGGGTAATATTTTTTGAAATATATTATGTTTTTCTCTTTTTTATTTTGCCATATATAAATTTATTCATTCATCCAACAAATGGTTATTAAGTTTCTGCTATGTGTCAGACATTGCTTAAGGGCCAGGAGATATAACAATAAAAAATATAGGCAAAGTGTACGCCTTCATGGACTTTATGTTCCAGCAGTGAAGGCAAGTCAATAATAAAAATAGCATCAAATACTTACACAGCGCTTTCCAGGTGTCAGATTCTCTTCTTATAGTAATTCATTTTGTTCTTCGTACAACCTATATGGTAGGAACTGTTATTATCCTCATTTTACAAATAAGGAAATCGAGGCATAGGCAGGCTAAGGAACTTGTCCAAGTGCACACAGCTAATCAGGAACAGAACAAGGATTTGAACCAGGAAGCTGAGTTTTAGAGTCCATGTTTTTAACGGATATAGATTGACAGAGGTATAGGTATCAGTATGGGAAAGGTGTGGAGATGGAGGTGGAGATACAGAGACAGAGATAGAAAAGAATATAACTACATACCTTCCCACAGGACAGGACACCCCCAAGTAAATAATCTTGAAAGAGACTTAAAGTTCAGTAGAGGAAACCCACTGAGAGACAGACAGATGGGTCGATAAATAGATAGGTGCATAAAAAAAGCAGGATAAAGAAATAGAAAGCAATAGAAGCAGGGAGCTTCTCTGAGAGTGGTCATGGCAGGTGACAGTGTAGTAGTCCAGGTCAGATTCCCAAGGCCTGCCCAAATCATGAGCAAGTGTAATCATGAGTGACCAGGTCCCAGGTTCCAGCAGCCAACCCCAGAGAAGACCCAGGGCTGGCAGCAGTCACTTCTCAGCGGTCACTGTCCAAGGGCAGCCCCTAGGGCAGCAAAGGCCACTTGGAATGCAGAAGATTCGCATCAACCTGTTGTGCCGTAAACACCTCCCCCCCGCCTCCCGTACCTTCACCAGGTGCCATGGACACCAGAGAGGAGAGGAGCAGAAACCTGAAAGTCTGGTTTTTTTACAAAAACAGACTGAACGTTTACCTCAAAAGCCTTTTTACATGATTGAATCTGAATAAATTTACTTGATTCGACTAACACACATAGCCCCCTAGCCACCTTGTGCCCTTTCTGGCAGAATGTGGGCTCTTAAGAAAATGAAGATCAGCAATGGGAAAAATATAGAATAACTGCTTTCCATGCAGTATTTGTGATGCCACTGTCCCAGCCTGAAGGCTACGTTTGGCAAGAGGAGGAGAGACACAGGATGGTAACAGGAGTACCCGTTGTTTTATTATAATTTTTCTAAAGCTTAAAGCATGATTTAGGAGAAGCCATTTGTAGCATTGCTGCATTCAGTTATCCAGCACCTATTTGAATGGGCCTGGCAGCTATTTGCAGGCTTCCAAATACAGGTCATAAATATGCATTCATCAGAAAGAACAACGCAATCAAGCGGCTTCACATATTTATCATGACTTCTATGAAAGACATTTAATTCAGGCAGCCTGGGTTTTATGTACAGAAATTTAGCAGTCAAAATCCCAGCCCTCTTGAAATTTAAATCTGACAATGTTGATTTGAACAATTACATAAACATATAACTGAACAAAGCTCATCTGCAATTATTCTCCATCCCAGACACCCATTCGGAGCCAGCCACGAAGAGGCTCTTCCTGTGTCCACTCAGGAATTCTGTCCAAGCTGTTCTCATACCTGAAACTTCATCCAGATTAAAGTAGACACATGGAACAAGATGTTGGGGTTACACTCTTTCAGGAATTGAAAAGTGGGGAAACTAATTTTCTGGGTGCAGGAGGAAGAGGCTCAGATTATTGGATACCTAGACAATTTCCATCATTGTGCTACTTCTTTTCCAGTTTGGTTCAGGGTGGTAATGTGCCCAGCTTTTTCCTTTTTTAATGCAGTTCCCAGTATCACTTGCAACTACAGGAGGGCATGTGACTCAGTTCTAGCCAATGAGATATAATTGGAAATCACCAATTGGGGCTTCTGGGAAAGCATTTTTTAAAGAACTACCTCAGTTGGCATTTGATTTGCCCTTCACCATTCCCAGGCTTCTTGCTGGGATGCAGATGAGATGCTGGATGTAGAGCAGCCATCTTGTAACCATGAGTAGTCAGTCAGAAGGACTAACACTATATCTTAAAGATGGCTGAACAGAAAGAGAAAGAAACCGGGTCCCTTTGCACCAGTTCTGAATTGTTAAATGAGGAAAACAAAACCACTATTTAGTGAAGCCCTAGTCTATTGATTTAGTATATCCAGCCAAGTATAATCCCCTATTGATTCCAAGGATTATATAGGTGCAGCTGTATAAACTAGGGGACCATTGTGATCAGAGCTCACTTTTTGACAGTATTTTCTTTCTTTTGAGCACCTGTAGTTGTCTGAAGAATTTGGAGCAATGTTAGCATGGGGGAATATTGCCCAAGTTCAATCATGAGCACTTAACAACCATTGAGTGAGGGTCTAAGATGTGCCAGACATGGTCCTAGGGGCTGTGGGTCCAAGTCTCTGCTCTTATAGCACTGATGTTCTATTCAGGGGGAGAGGAACAACAAACAAGCAAACAAGAAAAGGAGGTGAAAGTGCTGTGAAGGGAGAAAGGCATGCTGGGTGACATGAGGGGCCCTGGCACTTTGTACAGGGTGGCCATTCAAGGCCTTGCTTCTAGGGTGGGATATAAGTCAGCTAGGACTGCCATAACCAAATACAACAGACTAGGTGACTCACGCAACAGAAATTTATTTTCTCACAGTTCCGGAGCATCCAAGTCCAAGATGAAACAGTTGCCAGGGTTGGTTTCTAGTAAGGCTTCTGTGCCTGGCTTGTAGACAGTGCCTCTCGCTGTGTGCTCACATGGCCTTGCCTATGTTCATATGGAGAGAGAGGTGGAGGGGAGGGGAGAGGAGGAGAGAAATTTCTAGTGTCTTTTGCCCTTTTTATAGGACACCAGTCCTGCCAGACTAGGACTCCGTCCTTATGACCCCATTTAAACTTAATTATCCCCCTAAAGGCCCTATCTCCAAAAATAAACACATTGGGGGTTTGGGCTCTGACATATGAACTTTAGGGAACACAATTCAACCATAACAAATGGCTTATGAACAGAGACCTGAAGGGAGGGACAGTGAAAGCCAAAATGAAACCTAGAGGAAGGGCATTTCAGGCAGAGGAATGGCATGAGCTAAGGCCCCGAGTCAGGAGCGTGTTTGGCATGTTGGAGGGGCAGCGAACAGGCCAGAGCAGCTGGAGCAAATGGGCAGGAGGAAGAGTGTCAGGGGGTAGGACAGAGAAGAAATGGAGGCCACATCTTGTATCACCTTGTAAACCATTGAAAGGACTTGGCCTTTACCCTGAGAGAAAGGAAAGGTGACACAAGAGTTCTGAGCAGAGGCGTAGCATGATCGCATTTATGTTTCAAAGAGCTGACTCTGGCTGTTGTGTGGAGAATGGACTGTAAATAAAAAGGTGGAAGAAAAGTATCTGTTAAAAAATAATCAGGAGGTAGATAATGGATCCTTGGACCAGGGTGGTTGAGAGATGGTCAGCTTTTGGATTTAGAGGTGGAGCTGATGGGAGGGACTTGCTGCTGATTGATGGATGTCAGGTGTAAGAGCAGGAGAGGAGTCTGGGATGCCTCCAAGGTTTCTGCCATAGGCATTTGAAGAATGAAATTGATGTTTACTGAGGTGGGGTTAATGGTGGGAAGATCCGTTTTGAGGGGTGAAACATCAAGAGTTCAGTTTTGGATAAGTTAATTTCAACATGCCTTTTAGAAGCTCAAGGGCAAATTTGGGTGGGGTGTTGGACATATGAGACTGCTAATCAGGGAATGGTCTAGGCCTGCAGCAGAAATTTAAGGGTTATAAAGTAAAAACGGTGTTTAAAACTGTTCCTCTAGATGAAGTCATTGCCTAGATAGGAGTAGATCAAGGAGAGTTGAGATCTGAGATCTGAGCCCTGGAGAATTCCGCAGAGTAAGGGTGGGAAAATGAAAAGGATTCATTAATGAAGACTAAGGAGAAGCAACCATGAGGTTGGAGAAAAACCAAGAAAGCGTAATGACCTGGAAGCCAAATGAGAAGTATTTCAGGGAGGAGAGGGTGATCACATATGCAAGTGACAGGACAAACAAGGTAAACACTAAAATCACCACGGCCTTGGAAAAAGCTGTTGCCATGGAGTGACGGATGAGTGTATTGGTTAGAGTCTTTTCAAGGCTTGACATGGGAGCATTCACTTCCAAGCTGCTCATGTGGTTGCTGACAGGCCTCAGATCCTTCTAGCTATTGGCCTAAGACATCGATTCCTTGCCCAGGGGCTCTCTCCATAGGGCAGCTCACAGCATGGCAGCCTGCTTCCCCTAGAACAAGGAATCTGAGAAAAGGCAAAAGAGAGCAGCCCCAGATGATAGCTACAGACTTCTGTAATACAATCTCGGAAGTGACATCCCATCACATCTCTAAAAGACTTTATTTTCTAGAGCAGTATTAAGTTCTCAGAATAATTGAGCAGAAAGTAGGGAGACGTCCCACAGCCTCACTGTACACACAGCCTCCCCCACTACCAACATTCCCCTCACATCATTATCACCCAAAGTCCATAGTTTACATTAGGGTTCACTCTTTGTTGTACATTCTGTGGATTTGGACAGATGTATAAAGACATGTATCCGCCATTATAGCATCATACAGAGTAGTTTCACTGCCCTAAAAATCCCCTGTGCTCCACCTACTCACCTTCCCTCCCCATCCCAAACTCTGGCTACCACTGATCTTTTTATTGCTTCCATACTTTTGCCTTTTCCAAAATGCCACATAGTTGGAATCATACAGTAGAGTAAACTTTTCAGATTGGCTTCCTTCACTCAGTAACATGAATTTAAGTTCGTCCGTGTCTTTTCGTGGCTTGATAGCTTATTTCTTTTTAGCACAGAATAGTATTCCATCATCTAGGATGTACCAGTCTATTCATCCATTCATCCATTGAAGGACATCTCAGTTGCTTCAAAGTTTTGGCAGTTATAAAGCTACGATAAACATCTGTGTGTAGATTTTTATATGGACATGTTTTCAACTCCTTTGGGTAAATTCCAGGGAGTGTAACTGCTGGCTTATATGGTAAGAGTAGGTTTCGTTTTGTCAAGAACAGTCAAACTGTCTTCAAAGGCAGCTGTACCATTTTTGCATTCCCACCTGCAAGGAATGAAAAGCTCCTTTTGTTCCACATCCTCACCAGCATTTGACTGTTGTCAGTGTTTTGGAATTCAGCTATTCTAATAGATGTGTAACAGTATGTCATTGTTGTTTTAATGTGCAATTTCCTAATGACATATGACGTGGAGCATCTTTTCATATGCCATCCAATCACTTTTGCTGATTCTAGTCATTAAAAGAAATTCACTAGGTCCAGCCCACACTCAAGGGGAGGTGAACACACAAAGGCCTGAATAGCAGGAGATGCTTCACTGGGGACCATCTCAGAAGCTGCCCAATATAATTTGATTCAGAAAAGAATGGAGGAAAGGAATTGAAGACAAACATAGACAATAATTTTGAGGAGTTTTGCTCCAAAACGAAACAGAGAAATGAGGGGCTAGTTGCAGAAAGATGTGGAGTTAAAATAATTACTTATTTCATAACCAACCAGATCATTCTTATCAATTAAGGTGATATATTGACTAGGTAACTAAATAGAATTCTATTTTTTCTCTTTATTCATTATTTCCTAGAAGTATGGCGACCAACAATGTTCAGGTTTGTAAATAACAAACCTGAGAGGGGATTTTTTTTAATAGCCTGTTTGTACCCATGCAGGGGTCCATATGCCAGGGCTTCCAGGAGACTTGTCTGTACACCCTCTAATTGCTTAAATCAGTCACCCAGGTTTATTTAGGCGGATAAAACCAATAGGCCTCAGCAAGGGCAAACAGTCTTTCCTGCGCGTGAAAACAAGCCTGCAGCTGCTTGGAACAGGCAGCCTCCTGGGCCGAGACCTGCACGTGGCAAACAGCCCACTGATGCCAATTAAAGTGTTACCGGCCAGAGTGATCATTTAAATCGTAAATCATGTCTGCAGTTGTTTTGACTTCTGACTACATCACAACACACTAAAATATGCACTGAACACAGAGACAAAACTACACAAACAGGCCAGTTAATTTGTGAAAGCAAACATCCTAGATCTGTGTCTGATGTTGGTCCACTAAAAACAGTGAGTCTTAGGATCTCTGGGGAATGAGGATCAGCCAACTGCGGGGTTTGGGGAGGGTCGTAAATCGTGTGCTTTCTTCTCCTTCCATATTCAGAACCAACTCCGACACAAGATACAGGGTACAGACCAAAGTGTTAGCTTTGTCACTGATGAGATCGTGTCTTCAGAGCTGAGCCTGTGCTACTCCCCTTCTCAGTCCAGACCTTTGGTCACTGTGTCCTGGGCAGTGAGGGAAGAAAGAGAACGGGATTCCTCACGGCTGACCGCCTTCTAATCGATCTGCTCTCCTTTGAGAAAGATGAGCCATTGGATGCCCCCTGCCATCACATGTGGGGGCCAAAAGTTTTAAGTGAGTCAAATGCAGGCTCACGCTAGAGCGGGGTTAATGAGAAATCCTATCTTGGCACACTTGGTTTGGACTATTGAAAAAACACACAGGGAAAGGTAGTGCCACTTATAATTTCGCAATTGCCTGTACCCTGAACCAAGACCTCCCCCCACCATCAGAGAAGATAAGAATCTTAGTCTGCTCCATTGTAAACAGGGAACAGGCAGAGGATGGAAGCCAACAAGCCTAGCCCAATGCGCGAGCTCTCAGAATTCATGTCAGCACAGGATTTTATTGAAATTCCTTCCTCTTCTGAAAGGGAATGAGCAAAGGGAGTGCAGAGGCTAGGGGCATTACTCAGTAGAAGTTCTTCCACAAAGAAACATGGGGCGGGGGGAGGGGAGGTGGCGAGGGGGAGGGGGGCAGTGAGCCTCCCCTCAAGCAGCAGCAGAACTAGGCAGAGAGGCGATTACAATCCCCTGTCTGAATACTTCACACACACACACACACACACACACACACACACACACACACACACACCCATCACAAAGTCAGCACTCAACAAACATTTGTTGCGCTGAACAGTCCCTACAACCAAAATGAACTCAAGTGCTCCAGTTCCTAGGAAGCCCCAAATCTCAAAACTCCAAGGACAGATTAAGGATAAAACTGAACGTGCGAGCCGAGGCTGGGGACAGCGCTGTCATGTCCCCGCAGGGCTTCTGTGACTTGCAGACCACCCTAGGGGAAGGCAAGGAGTATTTGGGGCGGGGAGAGATACCTGACATTATTTGAGTGCCAGGAGCTTAACCGAACCTGCAGCGAAGGGAATGGACACCACGCCCACGGAAGAGTTTCGGGTGGATTTCACCGAGTCCACAGGCTCGGAGGACCAGGCTGGGGGACCTGGGCTGTTGCGCGCCCCGCTTTCCCCAGGCCGGCGGCAGGGGGCACGCGAGGGCCTCCACGCGCTGCAGGCCGGGCGGGTGCTAGGCGGGGGCGGATGATGGGCGGGGAGCGGCGCTTGGGCAACTTTTTGGTTGGCTGCCTCGGGTGCTGACAGCCCGGGCCCCTTTTAAACTTATTCTCTCCGGCGCCCTCCCTCCCTTTTCGGCCTCTGCTCGCGACTTGGTAAGTGGCCTCCGACTGCCTCGACCCGGAGCCGGCCAGGTGGCCTGGTGTCTCTCCGGTGACATTACGTGCGCCCCTTCTTGTCCATGGGGTCATCCGGGCCGCCAAGACCGGGGTTCGGCCTCAGCTCGGGGACCCCTCGGAAAAGGCCCTCCCAGCCCCCGGGAAGGAGTCCCTGGAGGAGCCCCTGTGATGGCCCCTCTTGGGCGGGGTTCACCCACGTGGTGCTGGGGGCCCTTCCTCCCTGAGAAACACCCTCGTGGTTCCTAAGGTCCCCCTTCCCCAATGGCCCGGGCGCCGCCACCTCTTGCCTGTAGCCCACTCCCTTAAGGGATCTGGGCCACAGGGAATTTCATGCTCCTTTTCAGTGAAAAGTTAACATTTCGAGAATAAAACCGTCCCGGGGCGGAAGCGCAGAACCCGGGAAGGTGTCGGGGTTCTTGGCGCACTCGGGGCCTCCGCCTGTCCAGGGGTTCTGATGACTGGGACGTAACCAGTTTAGGAAGTGGATGAGATCATGGATGCGAAATACTTTAAGTTTCCATGCGGAGCAGTGCAATAACAGTGTTAGCGACAAGCCGAGGTGACTTCGCCCACACAGCCATGCCCGCGCCACAAATGCCTTTCGGTTGCCACTTCGCATGGTGGGGAGTCTTCCCAGGAGCGGATAATATTTTCAGGGTGTGAAGCCAGGCTTGGTTTTCTGCCCTGGGAGAAAATCTGGACCCCTGGGGTCCACCAAGATCTAGAAACACGCGAGGCTGCCCTGGAAAAAGCTTGTCCCCAGGAATCACTTATAAGTTTCTGGGAGGCTCTCTTCAGTATCAGTGGGCATTTTAAGTGTTCGTACACATTGTTATAAAAGACTTGTCTGAATTTAGTCCTATCTGTCAAGAGCTATATTTAGAGGTCAGTCAGTGAATGAAAGAATCTTAGCTGTCATAGGTACCACTTAGTAATCTTTTGAAATGTGAGGCTTTACACGTTGGACCCAGTTGTGAGAGATCCTTTTGCTGATTAGGCAGCCAGGTAGGACGTCAGTGTAGCACGCTTTTAGAGGAAAAAAGGTATCGTGTTGCAGGCTGTTCCTAAGTACCCTTTTTCAGCCTTATACATAGACCCGAAGTAGGTTGGCAATTTTCCCTTCCCGGAGTACTTCAGTCTCTTGTGAATAGCATTATAACACAGGAAAATGCGGCGGCCAGTCTTTGTTTTACAATTGCCTTAGGTGTTGAGCCAAACTGTTTAAAGCATTCCTTGTGAAAACGTGACAGGAGCTGAGAGCCAGGCAGCGTTTCACAGAGGCAGTGGCTTGAGGCAGTGTCTATTTAAAGATCGTGGAAACTTGAACAAGTGCTGAGGACTGTTCTGAACTCCTCGGTAAACATTTCCGGGTTTCTTTTGGTTTTTAAATCTGTTAAAGATTTGTCTCAGTTTATCTAGGCAAACACTGTTGCCAGTAATGTGTTTTTTTTCTAAAATTGATATTTCATGCTAATGTAACAAAGAGAAAAGTTGGAAAGATGGTGACTGTTGACATTGTATTAAATAGATCCCCAAAGTATAAGAATTTCGTTCATGATTTATTTTACTCCTGTCTGGAAATTACGGGAGAATCCCAAGTGTCAGGAAATTTGGGGAATGTTACTTTTTAAAATAAAAATTCTATTCAAAAGTAGCTTTTCATCAAATGGATCCAGTCGATCACCACAATAAAAGATATTCTTTACCAAAACAAAACATAAAAAGTTAACATGTGATATTCTTAACACTGTTCTCACTTTTCTACCAGGCTCAGTCCAGTTCAAAGATGCTGACACACTTCAGGTAAATGGAGAGAATTTGGATTGTTATTAAATAGTTGAATAGAATTCTTGGCCAAGGATGAGAACTCTAATCTGACTGGATATGCTCCTGCTCTGATGGGTTAAAGGATTTACCTGAGGCCAACTCGATAGGGATTTATTAAATGCAGTCACATCCCTCCCCACTTTAAAAAGCATGCTTAAGTAATTGACATTTAATCTTTCAAAATGTTTATCTTTCCCATTGGCGGCCACTTTGAGTTTTAAGTCTTCCAGAAAGAAGTCGGGGGTGAATTGTTAGGCTTTGGGGGGGAATTGTGTTTATGTGAGAACATTACTGTGTCTGAGTTGACAATGTAATATGTTGGGGCATTCTATATTACCTATAGCTTTATAAACTTTGTTTTATTAATGACATGTCTTACTTAGTAATTGCTGATCTGATTACCTACTGTTATACTTCTTTTACAGGGCTGGTGCATGAAAGAAGCTTTTCACACGTAAATAAGGTGTATTTGAACATGTGACAGTTGGTAATATACAAAGAAGTTTTTGCTTTCTCCCTTTCATGGTATCAGGAATAAATTTTGAGAAGGTGCCAAATATCGGTAAGAATATATGTCTGCCCCTTAGGGAATTTCCATAGAATACAATTCCATTACTTAAAGTTTTTTTACCATTCGGCCTACAGCTTGACACAGTAACTAGACTACCTGTTCTACAACTATCTTAAGACAACTTTGTCAACTGTGCTTTAATTTACAAAGATTATTTTAAAATTCCATTATTTTGGCTGCACTAAAGATTATATGTTCCTAAGGGGAGGGGTTGGTTGCAAAGGGGCATGAGGGAGTTTTGAGAAACTGTTTTACATTTTGATTATGGTGGTAAATTGCATTGGTCAAATTTGGAGTGAGTTTTACTGAATGCAAATTATGCTTCAATAAACATGACTTTTAAAACTTACCCTTTCTGGCATCATTGACATTTCCGGTGAAATCTATGAGAAGGCAGTGGGGCCAGCACTTGAATGATTTCCTGAGATCCTACAAGTGACAAAAACATCAAAATCACTTTGGGGTTTTAAGTCACATGAATGACTCGTGCTCCCAAATGCCTGAGAATCAGGACCAAAAGATACACACTGGCTCACTTATCAAGGATATAAAATTTCTCTTGATGGATATTTCAGGCTACAACATATTCCTCGTCTGAACAGCTGCATTTTAAATCGCACCTGTGGTACAGCACATCTTCCTCAATCTCTTGACAATCCATACTGGTGGCCACATGGTGGCAGAAAAAGGAGTGCAAAAGTTCTGTACCCTGTATATGCCCTGTAACTTTGTCAGCACTACTTTGGGTTCCTTGTAGCCCTGCTTTCCACATTGGCAATTTTCTCTTCCAAGAGAATTTTGAATGGCTTTGGCCAATACTGGCTAGCCAGGGAATTAGGGAAATGATGTTTGGTGCTAAGTGATTGGGCTGGAGTTGATCTCAAAGCTTGATGCATAGGCCACACGGTTTACTCCTGAGTGAGTCTGAACTCTGTCCCTTTTGGGATATTCAAAGATGTGTTTGAAAGGAGGGATGGGCCAGGCACTGGCTGTGAGCCATAGTTCTGTAGGTAGTAGGTCTAACCCACAGAGCCTGTTGAGCCCTGACCCTTCCAACAGCTGCCTTGTACCCTCTTGCCTGTAGGAGCAAACGCCCTTCAGATGCCCCTTTGTGGTTCCAGGTTCCAGACATTCCCTGCTCCAACTCACCCCCAAGCCCCCTCCCACATACCATGGCAACCCAGAATTGTCCAATACCTTGGTTAAGTAAAATAAGCATCACCAAAGAAAAAGGGGTGGCAGGTTGAGCCAGTCCCACCGTTTTGCAGTCCACTTGCCCTCGTTGGCACAGCACATGCCTGTGTGTTGAGCAGAACTAAAGCAGGAGTTGGAGAGATGCCACCATGACCACTGAAAAACCAGGCTGTGCTTTTGTGCTCAACTGCCCGGAGGAGAAGAGAAGCAAATTGACTTGAATGAAATGTTTTCAAAGAGGATTTATAATTCCACAGGAGGAGCTTGGGTATGAGAAGAATATAAAAAAATAATTGAAAAGAGTTTTATGCTAATGGTTATGATTCCATTGAAAATGAAGTCTTATTTTAGAACTCCAGTCACTAACTTCCACAGATGTGACCTGCCCAGGTTCACAATTATGCTAGTGCTATGTCAGTTCAGGTAGACTCAACTGGATTTCAAGAATGGGCATATCCTGTTTTTGACAGGTACTCACTCTACAGTATACCTGAGCCCTTGAGGTAGTTTTTCTTAAAAGCAAGCACATTTTTGTAGTTCAAGTGAATATTCCAAACTAAGGTATGTATTTCTGAGGTTCCTAAAACCTTAAATGTTTATATAATTTGGCAAATATTTACTGTGTTTTCCCTGTGTGTTAAGTTGTGTGATAGACGATTCCTGACTTGATGGAGTTTACACCTACCCATATCGCTATGTAAGATGAAGCTGGTTAGAATGTGCCTCAATCGACTTGTGTTACAAGGAACAATTTCACTTAGTATCTGAGTCAACATCTGAAAGATTCCATTGTTAGGATGAACTGTGAGAAGACATATCTATACCCCCTACCCCCTCCACCACATTTCCAGAATGGGTGGGGTGGCTTATACACAAATAGCAAACAGAAACAATGAGAAGAGGGAATAAAAGCGAGACGAGCAGGATTATAAAACAAGCCCTTAGACCTCATGCTTCAGGCTCCTGCCAATTTAGCTCTGAGCTTCCTAGGGGCCAGAGAGAAGAGTTAGTTGGGAAATATGCCATTTGGCATTTGAATATAAGTTTAAAATGGATGCAGAGAAGGGGGCAGGGTCATTTGCATTCTAGGCTCCTTGGAACTCACATGAGAAGATGCTTTTTTCCCCCTCATGATCTCAAGTACCTTGAAGGAAGAAGCAGAACAGAGAAGGTTGTCCGGGTAACTAAACAGGGATCTAGAGATAGTGCAGACTGATGCATTTGACTCCAGAGTAGTAAGGTCAGTGGGCTGGTGAGCCCTGTGAGGCTGGACCTACTCAGCTGATGGTCAAGCCAAAGCCAGGGATAACGCCTTGTGAGAGAAAAGCCGTGTTGAGATTACGTGAAGAGATAAACAGCCAGGGATGTGTTTGAAAGGCTTATTTTAAATTTGTGCTCATAAAAATTGCCTTTCCAAAATTGACCTTGTATTCATAAACTGAAAAGTTCTGATTCCACTATTATGTTATAAAGCTGTGATGTATCACAATCTGGGACTATGCATCCATGACTAGAAGGACCCCTAGTGGAGCTTATCGGTACTGCAAGGGGCCAGTTGTCTTGAGGTACCCTCCACGGCTGCCAACTGCATCTCTAGGACAACTCCACATCTGTTTCAGGAGATAAAGAGATAAAACCCAGTCAAATTAGTGTGACCTATGTCACCATGACTTGCTCCCAGGAACAGCAGAATGTAGTAGTTGATGAAATGAAGCCTAATACCACTGATTTTCCATTGGACAAACGCCCTGGCATGTTACCCCCATTCTCTAGGGCGGAATAGAGCCCACTGGATCATTTATAGACCTCCTCATTTATAGTGGAAAAATGTGTGGAACTTTGGGAATCATCATAGAGTCCAAACTGCATTGCAATACAATCACCACTAGCCACATCTGGCTTTGAGTACTTGAAATGTGGTTAGTATGAATTGATATGTGCTGAGGTGTTAAAAAAAAAATCAGCATTGGAAGAAGTAACATTAAAGAATGTTAACTATCTCAATTTTATGTTGATCATAAGTTAAATAATATTTTGGATGTATTAGGTTAAATGAAATATATTAAACTTATATAAATGTCATTTGCATTGTATTTCTATTGGGCAGTTTCCAAAATATTCATGGAAACATGCAGACAGTGGTTCCACAATCCAATAGAAAGATGTTGCTTTTCTACTATACAGGACCTCCGGGAGGAAAGCAAGAGTAAAATTAGCACTTAAAATGCAGAATTTACAGGTAAGCAGCTTTTTTTTTTTTTCAAGGACATGAAGTGCATGTGTAGGGGTAGCCAGTGCTACTTAGAAGACCTGACATAAATTCTACATGCAAGCTGCTTGCACATCTGGGAATTTAAAAGAAAAGACTTCAGAATGTACTTATTAAGCAGTCTTTTATTCTAAGACTACTCTGTGCATGTACTTGTGTGTTAATTAGCATAATCAAGGGCCAGAGGACTTGGTGTGCTACAGCTCATCAAAATATAACTTCCTTAGTGAAGAATCCATGTGATGAACAGTTCTTGTTCCCTACCTAGTTGTGTGTGTGTGTGTGTGTGTGTGTGTGTATTTGTGTCTGTAGTAATGTAGTCTTTCAGCGTTTTTTTGTTTGTTTGTTTGTTTATGGAAGAGGAAGGATTGGGGGAGGTGGCACCATAAATATTACCCGAACTTGTATAAAGTACAATTTTTCAGAGCTACCTTATGTTAAACCAAAATGTTCCACAAAATCCTCTTTCTTTCATTTTCTCTTAACTCAGCTCTGAAAAGCAGGTCTGTGTAAAATCCCCTTCTGTGTTTTCCTTACTACTAACAATGACTTTTTGTCATTTTGTCTTTTAACAATAAGTGGATTCTTCCTGTAGGTTTCACATTTCTCTTAAGCAGTGGTTCTTCAGGGCTATGGTGGGAGGAGATGATTTTGCCCTCCTGGGGGACATTTGGTAATGTCTGAAGACACTTGATTCCCACAACTCAGTGGGTGGGGAGTGCCACTGACATCTAGAGGGTAGAGGTCTGCGATGCTGCAAAATACCCTACAATGCATAGACAGTGCCACACCAAAAAACTGACCCAAAATGTGCAGAGATTGAGAAACCCTGTCTTAGAAAACCTCATTCCCAGCAATGCCAACTTGCTAAGGTGCTACTGAGTATGCTACGGGCTATTCCCAAAATGTGACTTTCCCACACACATATCGTTCCCTGTACTTTGAGGTCCAAGGGTGCTTAATTACTAGTCTCATTGTTCTTACTTCTAAGTGAACTTCTATATCACAAAATAGCAATTCATTGTTTTAAGTGAAGAGCTATAGGGATTTTCTTCTAGGCTCCTCAAAAGCTAGTTTTCGTGTTGATAAGCGGCCAGAAACTCAAAATTAGCGCATCACAAACTAGTGGCTTTCTTAATCAGACTTGGTCAAACTGGACGCCTTAGGTTGATCGCTGAGGTGAAGCTTGCCCAGATCTATTGAGGGACCATCAGGCCTCTGGCCTGGCCACAGAGTCTAGAAACTACCCACAGGTTGTTACCATGATCTACTTCCATCAAATAGCTTCCAACAAATAGCTTCCATCCTCATGAGGGGCACTTAGCACAATAAAGGAACATTCACAAACCGGCCGGAGACCAAACACCCACACCCAAGGAATTGACCCAAGCATCATTGACTGCTCCCCCTCTCTAATATTCACATGAACCAGAAGATTCTGACTAATTTTAGAGTCCAAAGAACAACAAAACTCTGAAAACATTGAATGCCTATGTTGGCAGAATTAAGCCCGTTCAGATTGCATGGAGTGCAGCCTGAGTTCAGTGAATGAGCAAGCCGTGAGTCACACCCCTTTCACACGCTGGCTGGTATCCATCACCGCAAAGATGCATTGAATGCAGTTAATGAGACTGACAAAAAGGTGATGGGTGAGACAATTGCTCTCAAATGCAGCAGCAGTACAATGGAGGCATCTAGTAGCAATGCAGGGAACTCACTGGAAACACGGAGATGGGCCAGGGTTCCTAGAGCTCTGAGCAGTCCAGAGGTGCTGCCTACCTCTCAGGTTAAAATGCCCTTCTCTGTCTTCTGAGCGTGGGCATCTTTAATCTTACACTTTCTTGCGTAAAAAAGAATACAGCGCATGCCCCATGGTGACAAACAGCAGGGAGATGAAGACCAGCACACCAAATTGCTGCGGCTGAGGGGCCAACCTGACGAGGATGAAGTGGGTGAGGTCCATGAGGTAGTTCAGGGAGCACTGCACGTTGTTCACAGCCCCTCGCTCCATTTCTGGAATGTTCTCCTGAAGAAGCTGAGTCACAGTGAGGTCAAAGGACCAGAGAGACCTACAGGGCAGCAGTACTGGGAGAGAATAGAGGTGGATTCGGTGAGGATCCCGGCTCCAGCAACTGACTGGCTCCATTCGTCATGTTGCCTAAATGGAACTTTCTGTGGCTCGGTGTCCTTATCTGTGAAATGGGAACATATAGAGTACTCTCCCCAGAGGATTGCACCATATATTGGGTTGTCGGAAAAGTCATGATGTATTTTTTCTGTTTTTTGTTGCACAAACGCGTCATGACTTTTTCGACAACCCAACAGTATTGTGCAGCGTAGAGAGCATCATGCCTTGACATCTGTGCCACTTACACTTCTTCCTAGCAGAATTACAAATGACCTTGGGGTTGCTGGTGTGCTGTTGAAACTACACAGATTGAAAGCACCAGTGCCCAGGATACACTGTGCCTTGGTTCAATGTAAAGTATAGTTACTGTCATAATTTGTGCCGTTATAGTTACCCTTTTGAATCACCATTACCACCATCACCACCCGATAGCAATAAAACTTCATTTGGGATGTTTTTGTTTATGCTTCCCACTTCATTCCAAAAGTGTTTAGGAAAGAGAGTGAAGTCTTGAGCTTCAAATCTAGTTCCAATTCCAGAGTTTTCCTCTTCACTCCTGGCTTCTCAGAGAAGGAATTAGCTTCCCTTCTCCCTCGTTCCTCCCACTTTGAACCACATAAAGGGGCTCAATTTGATTACACTTCAGCAGAGCCTCCGTGCCTGCCATATAGGCATCAAAAGAGCAGAAGCCCACCATGGTGATGACAGTGCTGTTCCTGAGTGACAGCATCTGCTTTGGGGGTTCTGGTGCTGCTTTCACGGGCACCTGCTCCCAGCTTCTGCCTGCCTGATTGGTTTACCAGCCAATCAGGCCTCCAGAAGCCTCCTGGTAGCCGCTGTCCTGATCCCCACACTTAGCTCTGCACTCAAGAATTATTTGGACCAAATATGCTATGTCCTCCAGTGTCTGCCTTTGCAGGGCACTGGCCAGGCCTCCTGTCCTCCTGGGCGGCCCTTGTCACCCTGCTGTGGCCCATCCCGTCCTCCCGGGCTGTCCTGACCACCCAGCATGAACTCTCAGTCTAGGGGCATAGCCCACCAATGGCCTGGCCCCACACTGGACTCTGACCTGGGGTTTACCTGTCTAATCCCAGCACCTGGCCCTTAAGAAACAGGGGTTCCAGAGTTAGGCAGTATTTGTCACAGGCTGTAACGGCACAATGTGAAGCGCTCCAGGGAGGGAGGGCTAATTATGCACCGACACAATTATTTCTAAATTGAGGGACCAAAGAGGTATAGTTTTTAGATTTTTAGAAAGCAAAGTGACTTACAGGACACGTGCCAAATTGTATTGTGCCAAAGTTCTGTGACTTACTTTCCATCAGGATGGAAACAAGAATTTCCTGAGCCTCGAACAAGCCCTGTGCCTGGGGATACAGGTAGAATCCAAGGCAGGCCACGGGCCACTCGTCATAGTGAGAAAACCAGTCATCAAGGCTACCAGGCCTGGCCATGCTAACCAAGTAAACAAAGGCACGATACATCCTGGGTACTGGTGCTTTTAACCCGTGCAGTTTCGGCAGCACACCACCTCCCCCAAGGTCATCTGTACCTCTGCTAGGAAGAAATGAAAACAGCACTTGCCAGCACTGGGTGTGGGGGAGCCACACAGCACCCATTTCATTCAGCATTGTGGTTCTCTCCATCTCACTGCCCACCCACGCTCCACCCTTACACAACAATGCTCATGAAAGCACCGAAATTACAGCCAAAACATATGAATGACGATGATGACTGAGGATGCGAGTTCATGTGTAACAAGCAGCTCCTGTACTAGTGAAAGTCTTGTGCTAACCACATCACCTACAGGAATTATGCCAATGCGTCCTCCGGACTTCCCTGATGGGCAGGCATAATCATTACTTACCCATCTTACAGAGAAGGAAATGGGGACATGGGGAACTTAGGTAACTTGCCAACATCATCACCCACCTGGCTCCATGTCCTGAGCTGTCTCCCTCAGGAGTGTCGAGCGTGTGCTGTGTCTGGCATCCTTATCAAGGGTCAGCAAAAAGAACAGCTACTGCAGTGGAGAAACACCGGAAGCGTCTCTCATACTGAGTGCTTCTTCAGATCACAGGTGCTGCCGATGAGATTTCACACTTCCCAAATGCAATCACTTCCTTTGTGTCAGGTAGAGTCAAATCACCTGGGGATAGGAGTCACTAGGGGACTTTTTTTCCCCTTTTGAACTAAATACTTGAATATCATAATATAATGTGAACTGCATAAACCATAAATAGCCAATCTGCTCTCAGTTGTTCATGCAATTAAAGGCTGGAAGGGCAAGCCAAGTACCCTACCTAATAAAAGATAACTCACCCATCAGGCATTACACTTAAAATATTTTAGAGGTTAGGTAATCTCCAGATGAAAGCACAGGTTTCTCAATCAGTTATTTGGAATTAAGAACACAGCTTCTTTCTTACACATTATATCAGAGAAATATGGTTCCCAGGCTAGCCCATGGTTTTATAACCTCTTAAATTGGACTTCCAAAACTTTCATTTCCCTTCTTGCAATATGCCAAAGCTGTGTGGACCAAGGGTTTCTGGGTCTCTATGGCAGAAATCCAGAATACATCACCCCAACCCCATGCTCCCAGCCCATTATGGCTGCAGAGGTGAGAAGGTGAAGCTCTGAGCCCCAAGAGGGCAGAGACCTTGCTGAAGCCTGGTGCCAGGAGTGTGGACGAGGCACACAGCGGAGGTATGCAGGAAGTTCGCTGAATGAAAGAGGAAGACATACTTGGTTGTTGTTGTTTTATTTGTTTTTTTAAAGATTTTATTGGGGAACTGAGGGAGGGGAACAGCGCCGGGGAATCGGGGGAAGGGGAACAGACAAGTTGCTGTTGCAGACTCTTCCCAGGCCGGGGATTTGCAAGTTTAATCACTCAGGCCAGTTACGTGATTCCTGTTGTCATCACTTCTGACCCCCAGCATGTCACTGTTGGATTCAGCAGCCATCAAATGACCAAAAACTTTTTAAAAGATTTTTTAAAACACCCTAAGTAAATCAGATATGTCCTCACTGCCAGGTGTGATGCCGTATGGTTGGTGGCAGAGTTCAGAAACCAAGTTCTTGGGGGCAGGCAAGCTGTAGACCCTCAGTTAGGCACCCTGTCCCTGGGAAAGGACTTAACGCTCCCCCCCCCCCCCCACACACACACAGGCAGCTAAGGAAAGCCTTGGCCCCACCAAGCTGCCGTTGTCCCTCTCTCCCCATCTCAGTTCTGCAGAGAAAGGATCCAGGTCAAAATACTTCTTTCAGGTAGATGCCATCTGTAGCATTTACATGCTTGACACCCAGGAAATGACGATCCTTACCGCCCCAAATCTCCATGTTTTCACATTTCAGCCTTTGCAAAACTGTCTGCCTGGCCTAGAGCACTCTTCCCGCTGCATGTCTCCTGCCCAGCTGGCCCTTCAGGGGTCTCTTAATTCTGCCTCCTGCTAGGAAATCTTCTCCAAGCCCCAAAATAAGATTGGGTGTCCCTCTGTGTTCCCTATCCTTCTGTCCTTCTCAAACAGCTCCTATCACTTTGTAGTGTTGACTGCTGTTGACGACTTAATTGATGGCCTCCTATTCCACGTGGCTAAGACCTTGTCTGATTCAACCACTCTTGTATACCCGGTGTCTCGGACAGTTCTTGTCACATAATGAGCTCTCAGTGAATGACTGATGAAGGCTTACAACAACACAGTGGCGAGACCATCAAACGCTTCTAAGATTACTTAGCAACATCACAGGCTGCAGAATCCCACCCCACTCGTGACCCACTGCTCACCAATTCTCGCGAGGATCACGCCCAAGAAGAGCAAGATGATGGAGATGTAAGACTCAGGATACTCCAGGTCCTGCTCGCCTTCAAGCAGAACCGTGCTGTTGGTCCAGTGGATAGAGGAGCGGTTGGGAAGGATAGGTTGCTTCACATTTCTTTCAAAGAAATAAACATGCACCTGCTCCTCTTTTAGCACCTCGTGGTCTGAAGAAGGGTTGTTGCTGAATGGGAGGGAGAAAACAGCCAGGTCAAAAGGACTCCCAGGAGCAAAGACAGAAAACACGCAGAGTGTCAGGCAATCAGGCAACCTATGTGGAGCCAGCTGGGTATGCTCCCCGTGGTGACCAGGCCATAGCGCCCCCTGAGGCTGGTGAAGAGAATCGTGCCCATCAGGCCAGACAAAGCCCAAAGGGCCGTGAGGATGCTGAACAGCAAGCCTCCGATCCCCTGGGTGTAGGCGTTGCCAATGGTGATGCAGTCGAACCCCAGCACGGTCATGTAGAGGAAGGCCAAGCCCAGGCCGGCCGGAAAGACAGTCTGCCTGCAGTACGCTTCCCAGCCCTCACGGCATGTGCGCAGCAGCCTTCGCGTGTTTTGAAGGCAGAGAGAAAATCCCGTGGTTGTGGCCTGTTGTCCTTCAAGGTTAGATCTGTGGTCCTTTGGCTTATCCAAAGTTTTGGGCTTGTTGAAGAATCCATCAGTGGTTTCCAAAGAGCCAGTTTCCCCTGAAATAAAATGCAAATAAACCTTATGTCAGGAGCCTGCCCGAATGCCCTGAGTCCATCCCCAACCTCATCGACTTCCTTGGTGGACGTTGCCATGTGCACCGATGTCTTCCTATCCTAAGCATCTGGGTCTCTGCCTGAGGCTCTCTCTCCAGTCACAGGAATATAAAGGCAGACTCTACATGCCCAGAAGTCAACACCCTTGGGAACAACCCTGGCCTGATGAGTGACAAGACTTGGTGAAGAAACGCCTCGGTTTCCTTAGCCGTTAGTGGGACAATTCTGAGGTACCCCGACATAGTCTCTTAGAGGACCCCGACGGGACTGAGCCCCAGTCGCCCTCAGTGGTAACTCATACATTAATACACATGTTACTGGCTTTTCTCCCTTCCCTGTCTCCACCCACATCCTTTTTGGAATCATCTTCCTAAAAGATTCGCTTTCACCCCAAACCCTTGTCTCAAGGATTGCTCTTGAGAGAGCCCATGGTGAAGTGAGGAAGATGGGCGTAGACGGAGGAGAAGAAAGGGAGGGTTCACACACTTGAGACAGGGGTAGTGATGCATAGTTCCTTTGGTTATTTTTCTGAAGAAACAGGTACTCACGAAAAGACAATGATTAATACCTTTCAGTCTTCCAGGACAGGATAGGCAATGACTGGAAACAAATTTTTTAAATATATAACCTCTTGTGAGAGGTATACAGCACAAATTAAGACAAGCTCTGAAAAGGACTAAAGGAGCCAAACAGGGCTGTGAAGGAAGGAGAGGGGGTCAGGTGAGGCAAATCCATTCTAGACCAAGACCTGTGGGGAAGGTAAAGCTCTTGGTCACAGAAAATAATTTATTGCCATAGCAGATTGTTGTTATAAAAAAAGAGATAGTAATAACAACAATGAAAAAAAAAACCCAGCTAACACTGACTTTACTAAATGTTGGGGAGGGAAATAGGACTTTATAGAGACTATTTTATTTAATTGTCACAACATCCCTGAGGTCAGTTCTATTATTGTTAACCTTATTGTATAGATAGTGAGCCAAAGAGAGTCTGAAAAAATTAACCCAGCATGGTCACACAGCTAATAAGTGGCAGATGACAAGAATATAGCTCCAGCCATCTGTCCACCCATCCACCATCTACCATCTAACTATGAACAGCTATCTATTTATCTATCTCTGTAAGTTCACATACTTTTTCATGCAATGAGATCTAGTGAGGTGTAATAGCAAAACAACTTGAGAGAAAAGAGAATTGATTATAAGAAGTTTAGGAGGACAGACTCAGGTCAGGAGCAACGCCTGGGCTGTGTTGTACCAGGTGAATCAGCAATGTTGTCAACAGGTAGAGGTGGTTCTCACCTTGGGAGAATGAGGCCACATTTACTGGCAGGTCCACCTTCCTCCCCTCCTCACCCTAATGTTAGGGAATTTCTGATTTTAAATGGCTGATAGCAGAGATGGCCAGTTCATCATGTTGTCTTGACTTAAAGAGCAGCCCCATACTCCCTAACGCAGTTGTCTCTGGCTTAGTATCTTTAGGGAGGATGTTTAAGAGTGAGGAAGAAGGAGTAATCAGCCCACAGGAATAGGTTGTGCAGGTTGTGCCCTGCACAGGCTGGGGCAGGTGGTACTCCCATTGGGGTCTCTCTGAATGGAGCCCTTGTGCATAACCTGTGCAACTGTACAACCTGTGTAACTGTACATGGCAGCCCCGCCTCCTCCTACCAATGAGATCAACCACATGAACTCCATGACCAAGGGCACAGCTGGAGCCTTCTCATTTCTCACTGTTTCTTGGCAAATTTGCAGACAGAATATTGAGATTATGATCAGACACAGCTCCGGAAAGAAGAAATAAAGGAGAGAGAAAAAAAAGAACAAAGGCCATCTCTGGGCTCGCATTCCCTTGAACATTCGCAGCCTCCTGTTGCCTTTCTAGGAAGGGCTCCCCTGCTTGTTGCTGGGGTTTTACATCCAATTGGGGAACTAGTTGATAAGCCCTGGACAGAAATAGAAACTCTACGAGAAGCGAAACCAAGTTCCATCCAAGAATGAAACCACAATCGATCACATGAGATGCCCATGTCATCACCTGGCCCATGGACAAGGGAGCAAATCTAGGATGATCTGATCCAGCCGCCACAGCGCTGCATTCATCCATGTGAGAGAAAGGAGACATTGCAACTCAGGGGACCAGGCCTTCCTCCGAGTAAATGTAATGTTACGCATTTGCTAGATTTGCTACCCATGCACTGGATGAACAAAGGTGAAAACAGGAAAGAGCCCTTTCAGTCTAATTATAGATTAATCATAGGATTTTCAGCCTGGAAAAGACCTTCAAGGTCAGTTGTTGGAATCTGAACAATGAACCAGTGAGTAAAGTGAAGAATAGATACTAGGTTTCTTGGAGCTAATTATTCAGAGTCCTGTCTGAGCACTCTTTTCTATCACACCCTACTACCTTAACAACAAGAACAATTTTAATAGTCATTATTATGACTAACATGCTGACAGGGAAGAGAGGTAACAAGTAGAGATAAAGAACACAATTGGTTGAATACCTATTATGGGCCAGGCACAGAATTCTAAGCCTTTCTACACGTATTCATCTCACTTCATTCTCACAGCTCTAAGAAGTTGAAAATATCCCCGTCTTGCAAATTAGGAAACTGAGGCACACAGAGGTGAAGTTATTGGCTCAAAGTCACAGACAAGGTAAATGATGGACCCAAGATTTAAGCCCAGGCAGCCTGACTTCAAAGCTTATTCTCTTAACTATTCCACCATCATTGAAGAATATATTTACAAGG